CACGGAGCGTCGGGGGCAGGTCCCAGCCAGAGAGAGGGGACAATGCACAGCTCACGCCCCTGAACAAGGCTCCCACGTGTTAGGGAAGTGCTGCTCTCTCCCTGCCGTGAGGGGCTGGGGTCCTAGCACAGGGGAAGAGGTGGTGCCCCAGCAGAGGGGACATGCTGTGGCAGTCAGGAGCAAGGTGCAGGGAAACAAGAGCCTCGGCCAGGGACTGAGGTCTCAGATAGGACAGTCCGGTCAGGGTGGCAGCAGCTGAAACCTGGAGTGGACGCTACTGCATAGGGAAAGGCTGCTCTCCATGGAGACGGGGCGACAAGCAAGCATAGGCCCTGGTGCCCGACCCCAACCGAGGCCGGAGCCGAGCCCGCGATGCTCTGCCCCAAAAGCAAACTCCGCTATCAAGACACTGCCCTGACCTCCTGCAGCAAAGGAACAGAGAAAGCTGGGCTCAGGTCTCAGAGCAGAGATAGCACCAAGACCCTCCAAGGGAAGGTGGCAGGCACAGGAGGGACAGAACCTGGGCTCTGACAAAGGGTCTGGAACAGCGTCGAGGAGTGGGGGAATCTTGGCCCACTTAGCCAAGGGGACCCTGTCCCCAAGAGGAAAGAGCCCATACCAGGGAAGCAGGTGGACAAGCAGAGAACCAGGCCTGCAAAGGCCAACATCCCCAAAACGCAGGGCCGAAACTCAAAAAGTGGCCTCAGAACGTCACCTCTGATGAAACTGTCACACATAAGCCTGGTTGAGGGCCAGAGCAGTTGTAACCCAGGGGGCTGTGGTGATGCAGGGTGCCCTGGCCTAGGACGGCTCACCTCTCCACACAGGAGCAACCCTCACCCAGATGCTGCAACACCCCCGAAGAGGAGCAGGGCTCTGCCAGGCCCCGGGTGGGGTGTTTCTCCCCACTGACAGGCCCGACACTGCTGCTGGGAGGGACAGAGAAGCCTTGCCTTGGAAAGGGTGCACCAGAGTTGTAGTCCCAGAGAAGGTAGCCACAGCAGGGCCTCTCCCTGCCGCTCAGGGCCCTCGTGCCCCTGCAGCAAGGAGCCTCTACATAGCCCCGCACAGTGGGGAACAGGGGTACCGGCACCTGGCAGCCCCTAACTTGGCGGGCACAGGCAGGCACAGGCACTGCCGACAGCAGGCACAGGCACTGCCGAGCCAGGCAGGGAGACTGGCAGGCACCAGGGTGGGGGCAGCAACGCCAAGGAGGGGCTGGGGAAACCCCGCAGCCCCAGCCTCATGGTCTCCAGTACCAGGGCGAGGGGAGCCCCGCGCTCCCAGCTGCCACCCACAGCCACAGCCGCAGCCGGAGGCTGACAGGATAATAAGGGAGGGCGACTCGGCCTCCGCCGGCCTCTGCTGAGAGGGCTTGGGGGGAGGTGGAAACACCTGCCGAAGGTGCGCCGCCCGGGCCCTGCAGTGACGGGACTAAAATAAGGAGCGGAGAAAGCCCCTGCCCAGCCGACGACAGCTCGCAGCAACGGGCGTGGGGTCCCAGCAGGACAGGCCCAGGGCGGCCCTCCAGCTCCCAGCTGACACCACCGAGGGCCCGGCCGAGCAGGACGCCCGCGCCCACACGGAGTCCGGTCCCGGGCTCACGTCCACCAGGCCCGCGGGTACCAGCAGGGAGCGGGCGCGGGCAGCCCGGCCGCGGGGCACTGTTCCCACGAGGAAGGGCTGCATCCTAACGCGGCGGAAGTTCCCAGCGCCAACTCCCAGGGCTGGCGCTTCACTCCCGGGCAGTCCTTCCTCCACCCGAGCTCCGAAGCGGCTCCCCGGCCAG